CTCACAGCAACCTCCAGCTCTTGGGCTTAGGCAATTCTCTTGCCTCAGCCTCCCAAGTAGCTGGGACTATAGGTGCTCGCCACAACACCCAGCTATTTTTTGTTGCAGTTTGGCTGGGGTTGGGTTTGAACCTACCACCCTTGGTATATGGGGCTGGTGCCCTACCCACTGAGCCATAGGAGCCACCCAACATTCTCATACTCTACCTAGAAATTTTATTTCTGTAAGTTCCTGGGAATCTAATTGTTCTCTTTTGTGTCATCTGGTATTCATTAGTAGTAAACCATTGTGTCACACTGTTTGTAATTTAGGGACATTGAGCTCACTTCTGACAGGGCTAAATTTATGCAATTTCAAAACTTAATTATTCTTAATACTATTTTTTTTTAATTTGAGACAGACTCTTGCTTTGTAGCCCTTGGTAGAGTGCCATGACGTCACAGCTGACAGCAACCTCAAACTCTTGGGCTTAAGCAATTCTCTTGCCTGAGCCTCCAAAGTAGCTGGGACTACAGGTGCCTGCCACAAACGCCCAGCTATTTTTAGAGATGTCTTGCTCTGGCTCAGGCTGGCCTCAAACTTGTGAGCTCAGGCAACCCACCCATCTTGGCCTCCTCAGTGCTGGGTTACAGACATGAGCCACCACACCTGGCAATATTATTATTTTTTTTTTTGGAGACAGTCTCACTATGTTGCCCTCAGTAGAGTGCTGTAGCCTCATAGCTCACAGCAACTTCCAACTCTTGGGCTTAAGTGATTCTCTTGCCTCAGCCTCCCAAGTAGCTAGAACTACAGGTGCCTGCCACAGTGCCCAGCAGTATTTTTGTTGTTGTTGTTTGGCAGGCCTGGGCTGGGTTTGAACGCACCAGCTTTGGTCTATGTGGCCAGTGCCCTAGCTGCTGAGCTACAGGCTCCGAGCCTACTTTATCTTTTTAAAACTTAAATTTCAAGGATATCATTTTCCAGTCTGTATTTGCCTCCTCCAGGTGCCTAAGGGGCAGAGCCAGTTCAGGGAGATTCTTGATGTTAACTTAAAAATTTATGTGTTGGGCTCGGTGCCTGTGGCTCAAGTGGCTAAGGCGCCAGCCACATACACCTAAGGTAGCAGGTTCAAATCCAGCCCAGGCCCCTGACGGCTGCAACCAAAAAATAGCTGGGCATTGTGGCGGGTGACTGTGGTCCCAGCTACTTGGGAGGCGGAGGCAGGAGACTCACGAGCCCAGGAGTTGGAGGTTGCTGTGAGCTGTGATGCCATGGCACTCTACCCAGGGGGACAGCTTGAGGCTCTGTCTCAAAAAAAAAAAGTTTATGTGGTGGGCGGTGTCTTGTGTCTCAGTGAGTAGGGCACTGGCCCCACATACCAAGGGTGGCAGGTTCGAACCCGGCCCTGGCCAAACTGCAACCAAAAAATAGCTGGGTGTTGCAGCGGGTACCTGTCTTCCCAGCTACTTGGGAGGCTGAGGCAAGAGAATCGCCTAAGCCCAAGAGGTGGAGGTTGCTGTGAGCTACAACACCACAGCACTCTCCTGAGGGCGACAAAGTGAGACTCTGTCACTAAAAAAAAAATCCAAAAAGTTTATGTGTTGCCAGACCATATAAATAGTATAAATTCAAAATCTAAACACATGTGGAGATAAGCCGCTGGTTCAAAAATTTCAAAGGAAGGTCCCTGCCTCTCCCAGTCCAGAGCTCAGGCAAAATAGGAAAGCTTCCCTTCACCTCTCTATGCTGGTGGTCAGACTGTTTTTTTCCTACTTCACCTACTGTACAGGTCTGACTTTACAATGGCGAACTTTTTATACACTTTACCTCACATAAGCCCCCAAATTAAGTGTGCTACATGGGTTGTTTCAGATCCTTTACTTCTCTCTGGCCACTGGGGACTGCAATTTCTTTATAGTCAGCATTTTTTCTCAGATTTCTACGTGTTCTCTATTATATGAAATACACATTTTTGTGCATGTACCCACTGGGACACGGAGCAAGGCACTGATGACTGTGCAGTTATCAATGCCTTCCTGGTTACAGGCAAGCAGTTCTTCACCTCTCTAGACATCAGTTTTCTCTTCTGTAAAATGGAGATAAATTGATGAAAGCATTATATGGATAAAGGTAAAATGGTTAGTATAGTGCCTGGAATACATTAAACATGCATCAAATTACATTTTTACTTTTTAGTAATTTCTATAAAATAAAATGATATTTGGCTCGGCGCCTCTGGCTCAAGTGGCTAAGGCGCCAGCCACATACACCTAAGGTGGTGGGTTCAAATCCAGACAGAGCCCGCCAAAACAACAATGACAGCTGCAACCAAAAAAAATAGCCAGGAGTTGTGGCAGGCGTCTGTGGTCCTAGCTACTTGGGAGGCAGAGGCAGGAGACTTGCTTGAGCCCAGGAGTTGGAGGTTGCTGTGAGCTGTGATGCCACAGCACTCTACCCAGGGGGACAGCTTGAGGCTCTGTCTCAAAAAAAAAAAAAAAAAAATTTGGTGGGAGGGCTTAAAAGTCCACAGTAAGACTGAGTGCAAAGTGGGCACATTGTCCACTCACTCACATACACACTCAACCGTTGTCATCTACTGGTGAGCAGACAGTAACAGTGCCAAGCTCTGACCATTCTGAATGAACATAATATTTTTGAAAAGATGATGAAAATCCCAGTGAATGTCTGATTAAAGGAAAACACTAATTAAAACTTTGAAAATAGGTTAGAAACACTGAAAACCAAATTTGGGAAATCTTTTCACAACAGGTTAAAGTTGAATGACGTTAAGATATTTCCCATACCTGGTTCCATGTAGCCGATCACACCATCACCACATTCCCTCTCTGAACATATGTCCTTGTGATCACTTTGTTATCTTTCTCTCTTTCATTGCACACTTTCATTCCAAGGTCAACCCAAATGTCAAAATAATACTCAAAAATAGTCAGAATTAAGTTTTATTTCACATTGATAGAAACCGTGAAAAACATTACATTTTTCCACGTTACAGCATAACATTTCAACGGAATATTTCTTGTCATAAATAAGATCTTGACAATCTGTGTAACTGAAACAGCAGTTTATGTTCTTCAAGGTAAAGCAATATGACTTAATAAATGATTGTTTAAAATTTTTAAATGCAGACATAAACATATGGCTTCATTATTAACATCCTATTATAGTCCATGACTAAGTTATATTCATTATTGAGTAGCACCCATTTATAAAGATGCATTCTTAACATTGTTTTGGTCAATTAGAATACAGCAGAAAAATTAACACTTCAGAAATACTGAGCATACATCTTTGCACCATATTAAAATGTATGGCAATTACATCATATGTGTAGGGGTCTGACTAATCTTTCTTACCCACAAATTTGTTCTCAAATAATTTTTGCCAGTAACCTAGAAATTTTGACTATTTAAAATCAAATGATTGCTATTTTTATATTCACACAGAAATTAATTTTAAAAGAAATTATCAAGACTAAAGTGAAAATTTCATATTAAGTCCATTGGCAGATAAAAATAAAGCAAAATTTTTTAATGGATTGTTCATTTTCTACAGTAGTTGGTTTCAAACATACATACCAAATAAGTAAACTTAAATTCTGTGCTATAAGGAGACTAAATCATCTCAGAAACTGGTTTTAAAGATCAGTAAATACTGCAGAACATACTAGAATATGACCTAATTATTCTTTCAGCTGCTTACAGAAAAAATTAAACCACAGAGAAATTCCTGTTATCTGGATTGAATTGTCTATTAATTAAGTAGGTTTAAATATGGACTAAGGTATAGCTATTTGAAAATTTGAAAGAAGTAGTACAGAAAGTTTTAAGTAACATCTGCTTTGTTTATGAAGGACAGATTTTAATACCTTACGTCCATGACTCAGAATGTCAGATTACAGCACACACTGACAGTAGCTGTCTGTGACAGGGAGACAGTAAGTGGCCTTCTAAGGACAGTAAAAAAGGAAAAACCCTTTTTTTTGCTTGAGAGAAGAAAAGAATATTAAGTAAAAATGGTACCAAGGAAAGGAAAAGTCTGGTCCCAAAATAAAAGGGCCATTAATTGAAGAGAGCAATATTACTCTACATTGACACTAAAAAGCATTATCCCTGTTATTAGGAATAATGTAACACCACCTCATTCTTAGCATGTATTATGATCATTACGCATACATGAACACACATACAAAATACAGACACTGCATGGTGACTTTGGAATAAATCCATAGACTTAAGTCACAGTATGCATAAATCATTTATATCTTAACTGCTCATTTATACCTGAACAAATTTTCATTAAGCATACTAGTAATTTTCAAATGATGTAATAAAAAGTCTGGCTGCATTATTTTATTACTTTGGTGAATTACATTTGAGAAAATAGAAGCTAGCTACTTCACCTATTTTAACACTACTAATTTTCTGAATCAGATTATAAGAATACATGTATAGAAATTTAAAAGATCATAAATTTCCTATGAGGAGACATTATTTAGTCTGTGTCATTGGCATGTATTTGCAAAACGTTTTAACACTGCAAACATTAGAAGTTTGAAGATTGGGCACAGGAAAAAGTTTACACTCCACTACAATGATGCTGGTGTACTTCTACCAAGGCCTCTTAGTGACTCAGTCAATTGGAGGTAGGAGTTTTTCAATGAATTGCTTGACATCCATCATTTCCTGTTTGGAATAAAGTGGTTTAATAAGCAGTTGTATAAATCAGAAACTAAATCCCCACTAAAATGCTGCTAACCAAACACACATATGCACAGGGAAGGTGAAACTGTATTTTTAATACTACAGTTAAATACAAAGACATAAAAAGAAACCAGCTTGGTTAAGAAACTTCAGAATATTCTGTTGCCCAGGCTACAGTGCCATGATGTCAGCTTAGCTCATAGCAACAAACAACTCTCAGAGTCAAATGATCCTCCTGCCTGAGCCTCCTGAGTAGCTGGGACTAGAGGTGCCCACTACCATGCCTAGCTAATTTTTCTAGTTTTAGTAGAGATGAGGTCTTGCTTTTGTTCAAGTTGGTCCTGAACTCCAGAGCTCAAGGGGTCCTCCTACCTCAGCCTCCTAGAGTACTGGCATTAAAGGTGTGAGCCACCATGCCTGCCCTCCTATGATGATTATCATTGTATCATTAAAATGGTAGCTCCCATCTATTATCTAGTTCCATGAAAATGGTCTGTATTTCCTTATACTTAAAATAAAACAATGTTGCAGTTTGGCTGTGGCCAGGTCCGAACCTGCCACCCTCGGTATATGGGGGTGGTGCCCCATTCACTGAGTCACAGGCACCGCCCTCTCAGGGCACTTTTTTTTTTTTGGCAGGGGTCAGGTTTGAACCTACCACCTCCAGTATATGGGGTCGGCACTCTACTCCTTGAGCCACAGATGCTGCCCTCTCTCAGGGCACTTTTAACTTCTAATACGGGCCATGCCTGTGGCCCAGTGAGTAGGGCACCGGCCCCATGTACTGAGGGTGGAGGGTTCAAATCCAGCCCCGGCCAAACTTCAACAAAAAAAAGCCAGGTGTTGTGGTGGGCACCTGTAGTCCCAGCTACTTGGGAGGCTGAGGCAAGGGAATTGCCCAAGAGCTGGAGGTTGCCGTGAGCTGTGACATCACAGCACTCTACTGAGGGTGATAAAGTGAGACTCTGTCTCTAAAAAAAAAAACAAACTTCTTTTTTTTTTTTT